TGAATTATTTAGTTTGCTGTTCTAAAAATTATATAATATAAATAATTCTTGTTTATTATCAAATAATTGTCTTATAAAAAAATACACTAATTTAAACCTATAATATATAGTTGTAATAATCCAGTAGCTGAATACTAGAAATTACTGTACTATATGGTATTTATGATAATTGTAATAGGTATTTTATAGTAAAGACTATAATAGATACCTAGTATAACCTTAATTATGTTTTTAATTGATGCTTATTTAAACAGTTGTTTGCAGCTAAACAGAGATGACATTTATTAAATTGGCAAATAGTGACATTATCTAAAATGTTTTAATGAACAGAATTTATTGTGTTAGAACAATGTTTTAAATACCAAGTATTACAAACTACACTAAATATTATCTAGACTTGAAATATTTATATGAAACAATGCAATAGATTAATCTGTAGAAACTTTATCTGCATTATAAATTTATGAAAATAAAATCATCTAATTTTCTACATTACACAATTCTTTTTAGTTTTTACAATACATTTAATATTAATTTATTATATGAAATTTTAATTATTTTTAATTGGTTAGACTCACAGACAATGCAGTAACATAAAAATAAAATACAAATTATTCTAACACAATGTATATCATAAATCATTGTTCAGTATTATTACTTAATATATTGTATTTTAAAATACAGATATTGACATCTGTTTAAGGCGATGAACAAAAATAATATATATGTATACTTCATAGTGGCTTATATACCATGAATTATGTATGTAACAATGTAACACTTAGTTAGAGGATGCATTATGATAGCAGATTTTAGAATTATTATGAAATATGTAGAGAGAGAAGTCATAGAAAGTTAAAAGAATTGAGAAGAAAGTAAGGTCTGGGGAAGGGAAAAGGAAMTGCATTTTTAGTGAGGTTATTACATTTTTATGAATATTTTTAATAGATCTATATCAAGTGGCAAAAATAAAATAGGAGGATTATTTAATGATAGCGCTGAACTTTCTAGGAATCTATTGACTAGATGGACACCAGGGTGATATCGCGGACATTTGGCTAGTTTACCATTGATTTAATTATCAGTTAAATAAACTAAAAGCATCTATATTGATATACTAGAATGKTAAATACACCTATATTATTTTAAATTTGTTTTTATTAATTTAACATTAAAAAATTATGAATTGAAAAAACAAATCATTAAAAAAGGATATGAACGTTTTGATAGTGATCTAATTTTATCAAATTTTATTACTAAAAATTGTTTRAAAATATACAGGGTGGTTTTTTTTATCATGAACCACTCATTATTTCAAAAAGTATCAATGTTTTTGAAAATATTTTTTTACAAAATTTCATGTTAAAAAAATATTTTTTTACAAAATTTCATGTTAAAAAAACGTTTTTAAAAAAAAATATGTTTTTTAATATTTTTTATCCTTATAATTTTTTAAGTTTTTTACTTTTTTGAATGACAACCTAGAGTTTTAATTTCATATTCCAAAGCAGAATATTTTTCTAAGTATTTTGATATGTAAAAATCGAATTTTGGACGAGTAGTTTATGAGTTATAAGTATTTTAAGTTTAGACAAGCGGAGTAGTGGACAAACTTTTTGAGGTGTAACCCCGTAACACTCCACTCTGCCAATCTAAACTTTAAATACTTATAACACATACAATTCAATTTTTACGTATAAAAATACTTAGAAAAATATTCTGCTTTGGAATATGAAATTTAAACTCTAGGTTGTCATTCAAAAAAAGTAAAAAACTTAAAAAAATATAATGATAAAAAATATTTAAAACGTTGTTTTTTTAACAACATAAAACTTTGTACAAAAATATTTTCAAAAACATAGATACTTTTTGAAATAATGAGTGGTTCATGATAAAAAAATCACCCTGTATGACCTATCATACTATTAAATATTATACCTACAATGATTTAGGACTTGGGAGATAGTGGAGAAGATTGAAAAGAATTAGTAGTTCTTTATTAGTTTTAGTTATATTGTATTTTTAAAACTATAAAATTGTCAGTTTTATTTAAATTTTGATCTAGATTTTAAATAGTACTTTTTTGTTTTTTGTCAGAATTATTTTTCAGAATGTGAATATTTATTATTATTTTTAAAATTAAAAATACCTACTTAGTGGCCATGATTCCTGTGAATCTTTTTATGTAAGATAATTGTACTCAAGTGTGTTTAACGTGTGATGGTTACATATTTAGGAGTGTTCCAGATGAGAGGGGAGGAAAATAAAGCACAATTTTCAAAATTCTTTTGATATTATATAGGGTTTTTTTTTAGTTTTTTTWCTAGCCCCTAAAGTTCCCCTTGTAGTTATCTCTGTAGATAATGTTTAAAACATATTACAATAACCCACAAACATAAATCATCAATATATAGATACCTACTTAAATATATACAAATTTTATGTTAGATATATTATAATTAATTTATAGTTCATAATCTATAATTACTATAAATTGTTTGTGCCTATATCCCTTGTTATAAAAATAAAATAAAATTCAAATATTCAAAAGTAATACCTATATAATAGTAAAAAATTATGCTGTATTAAAAAATTGAAAAAGTCAAAAATAGATTCAGTGGCAAATATTATGGATTTAGTAATGTTATTATTTATGTATTGTAATTAATGATTTGTATAGGTACTTAATTAAAAATAACAGATTAAATTTTAATAAGCGTAAATTACTATTAATCTTACCATTGATATGAATTGAAGTGAAAATATACAAGACCAAGYCCATACAAAAAATTWGCATCTTTCCAATGGTTAGTTTCTGCATCATTATAATATTTGTGGTATGCAGACATTGCTAAAAAAAAWATATATATATATATGTTTAGGAACCAAAATGATTCAAGTAAATAAAAACTATGAACTACTCGCTTAAAATGTATTAATTGAATAATTGAATAGCAGCGATTCAACTAATAGTTAATATTATTATATAGTAGATGTTTTGAGTAGATAATTTTTATTTCATCCAATATTTATTAAATCAATAAATACAATTTATATAATTAGTCTGAATTACATCAATATAGGTTTACCTTGAGACTATTGAGGAATCTTAATTATAGAGAATAACTTGTTTTTAAAATCAAATGTAACTTAGAGCCCATGCTTAAATAATAATTGAACATTAATTATGAAATACCTTTAGAATAGTTTTCCAATAATAAATGGAAATGTCCCAGTTTGCAATAAGTTTTAGAATCAATGCTGATTGCTTTTGAGGATTCATCTTCAGTTTTTTCTTTCTGCATTTGCATTAACATCCTTTCAAGGTACTTTATTGCCTAGAGATAAAAAATATATTATAATAAAGAATAAATTCAAACAATTACATTTATTAAAGTTGCTTATAGACTATAGTAGTTATAGTATATACTGATAGGGTTGGGATAAAGTCATCAAGTATAGGTAATTAAATGTATCATACTAATCAAATGTATAACTCACTTTCAACTAATACTAGTCTATAATTAAAATAAAATTAATAGGTGTATTCTAAAAGTTTAGTTTAAATTTTTTAAATTTTTATTCGCTTTGTCAAAAGTCTTTMCTAATAGCAAACTTGTATAAATTACTAAATTACCAGAGCTTATAAGTTCATGCATTTSCATATAAATCTTTCAATCCTATGAAATTCTAAGTAAAATAGAAATTTGATTTGAGGTAATAAGATTCTAATATATTAAGTTGTATTTTAAACATTGTAGACTACTTAGTCATGTTTTTATTACAGATCATGGTTGAAGCATGGCATTTGGGTCTGGAGAAAAAATTCAAAAAAAAATTACCAAGTCCATATCATTGCCGTAGTACTATCAGTACAGCAATACTCTGCAGTTACTTA